AAACATCCCACACATATACTATCTGTTGAACTCCAACTTAATGTCCCATAGGCACCTCAAACTCAACACATTCAAATCAGAATTCATTATTTTTTCCCCAATCCCCCTCCTAACTTCATATATCTGTCAAGAATACCACAATCCCAGTCAAGAGTACTAATCATCTAAATTAAAGCTAAAGTCATGGGGGAAAAAATGCTCTAAATCACTATTGATTAGAGAAATGCAAATTAAAACAACTGAGGTACCACCTCACATTTATCAGATTGGCTAATATGACAGAACAGAAAAATGATAAATGTTGAAGAGGATGTGGGAAAATTGGAACACTAATGCATGGAGTTGTGAATGTGGAGCTGTGAACTGATTCAACAGTTCCAGAGAAAAATTTAGAGCTATGTACAAAGGGCTATAAAACTATTCATACTCTTTAATCCAGCAATACCACTACTAGGTCTGCATCCCAAAAAGATCACAAAAAAAGGGAGAAGGACCCACATGTACAAAAAAATATGTATATCAGCTCTTTTTGTGGTGGCAAAGAATTGCAAGCTGAAGGGATGCCCATCAATTAGGGGATGGCTGAACAAGCTGAGATATATGAATGTAATGGAATACTATTGTTCTATAAGAAATGATAAGCAAGAGGATTTCAGAAAAACCTACATGAACTGATGCTAAGTGAAGTGAGCAGAACTAGAACATTCTACATTGTAACAGCAACACTGTGTGATAATCAACTACGATTGACTAGCTCTTCTCAGCAATACAATGATCTGAGACAATTCCAAAAGACTCATGACAGAAAATGCTAACCACATCCAGATAAAGAACTATGGAGTCTGGATGAAGATTGAATCATATTATTTTCACTTTTTTTTTTTTTGCTTTTTCTTTCTCATGGTTTTTCCCTTTCGTTCTGTTTCTTTTTTCACAACATAACTAATGTGGAAATATGTTTAATATGGTTGTACATGTATAATCTATATCAGATTACTTGCTGTCTGGGGGAAGAAGGAGGAAAAGAAGGGAGGGAGAATAATTCGGAACTCAAAATCTTACAAAAATGAATATTGAAAACTATCTTTACATGCAATTGGAAAAATAAAATACTATTACATGTTAAAAAAATTTACGAGTACCAATCATCCAGGTTTGCAAACTCAAAATAATTTTCTTCACATTCATTCACCTTCCCAAATCCAATCAATTATTAAATCTTAATGATGTAACCTTCACAATATCTCTTCTATCCATTTTCTTCTCTCCACTCATACAGTTAGTTATCCCCTACTTCAGGTCTTCAACCCATCTTCACCTGGTCTCTTAATGAGACTTTCCTGCCCCAAGTATCACCCCACATCATCAATTCTATTCCTAGAGCACATCGGATCATATTTTATACAAAAACCTTGAATACCTCATACAAAAAGTTCAACTACTTCTCTATTGCTTCTAGGATAAGATAAAAACTCCTGTTTCCCTTGGAGGTGTGGGATTGCATCCCAGTTCTAACAGTAGTCTTCTGAGCAGAAGTATAATGTAATAGAAAGAACACTGGGTTTGGAGTTAGAAGCCCTGGGTTCAAATCCCAGCCCTGCTACTTACTATCCATAATACCTTGAGCAAGTAACTTAATTTCCTCGTGCTTCAGCTTCCTCATCTGTAAAATGAACTAGTTGGCCTCTAAGATCCCTTCCAAGTCTTATTAATCTGGCCTATATTTCCAGACTTATTACAAATTTTTCCTTCTACTCTTCTTCAAGTTTCTGACAGCCTGACCACCTGCTGTTTCTCATACCTAACACTGCACCTCCCTCTCTGTTGCAGTCTTGCTCCTTATGCCCAAAGTGCACTTCATCTCTACCTCCACCTCTTAGAATCCCTCAATTGTTTCAAGGTTCAGTTAAAGTGCCATCTCCTACATGAGACCCTTCCTGATTCCACACCCCTCCAAGTACTTGGATCCCTCCCCAAAAATCTCTTTCTATATATTTTGTACGTGTTTTTTTTTTCCTAATAGAATGTAGGTTCCTTAAAGACAAGAGTTATTTAAGTTTTCTCTTGGCATCCTCAGGACCTAGGGGCACAGTTCCTGGCACACAACAAGGACGTAATTTTTTTGATTGATGTATCAATTGATCGAGTAAAAGGTATTTCAGTGTTTCTTTGGAATGCTTTCGCTACAGAGGCATCTTCCTAATTATTTTTGTTGTGCTATTTAAATTAGCTGGAATTCCCCAGCATACATCAACTGATAATGGGGTCAGGTGCAGGATGGCAGGGGGAAAAAAATAGAGTTAAAAATTTTTCATCATTCAGAGAACTAAGAATGAAACGTCTACTATCATCTTTCTCCTTACAACAGTGAAGGCAGAAGTAGATATTTCTCTGAATTCATAAGTACTGTTATTTCCCCCTCCAGTGAAACAACCTATAGTTCTATGGTGCACCTCCTCTTTTTTTAACTTTTCAGAAAGTTCCACAGGTTAAAATTAACATGGTCTTACATAGATAAGCCCTGTTTCACCAAATAAACATAAAATTGGTATCATAATATGGGAGTTCAGGTTATGAAGGAAAAAAGATATTTGCAATATTCAATATCCTGACTATACAGTAATTGGCTGTTAAAATTTTTTTCAGTTTCACTTTGTGATCGTAAATTTCTTGTATCTCTATATGGTAGTAGCTATTCTTTTCTGGGGAAAAGATTGGAGGATTTAAAAAACATAACTAAGAAAAATATCCTTTCTTCCCACCATCTATGCAGAAATCCCATAAGATTTAGTATCTCAGCTCATTTAACTCAAAACCTAGTAGAGTTTTACAGCACATGTATGACTGAGCATAATAAAAAATGAAACAAGGTGTGTGTGTATACATACATGCACACACATACAATACACATACATATATATACATATAAAAAGATATAATAAACCAAGTGCTATTCAAGGTGCAAGGAGGTGGAGCATCAAAACCTTGAGGGGATTGGAAATAGTCACAATAGAGTATATGGCATTTGAGCTGGGCCTCAGTGTTTCATTTATGTATCAATAGGATTTCAAGAGACAGAGATGAGATTGGGGCTAAGAGTGCATTGTAGGTGTAGGGAACAGTACAAACCAAAAGCATAATTTTGGGGAAGCCTAGTATACATATACGCATGTATGTGTGTGTGTGTGTAATGTGTGTATGTGTACATATGTATGTGTGTCTCTGTGTGTATAATAAGTAATCCAGTTTGGCTAGACCATGACATAGGTAGAGAGGAGTGGGTATACAATAAGACAAGAAAGGTGAGGTGATTTGAGGGAAAGACCTTGAATTCAAAACTAAATAGCTTGTAATTTACTGAGTAGGCATTAGGGTTCTCTGAGAAGAGGACATAGCCAAAGTTCTGTGCATAAAAAAAAAAAGAGTAACCCTGATGCCATGTGAAAGATGAATTAGAGATGAAATTAGTATAAGGGAACATGACAGGTATTTTTCACCATTCTTAACAACAGCAAAGTTCTTAATTTCTAAATCAATATTCAGTGTTCATTTAAAATGACACACATAAAGTCAGGTTCTGTGTCAGGAATCTGGAAATATCACCTGTTGGTCATACCTGTGGGAAAGACACTACAGTTCTAAATCTGAACAATATGTGTGTGTGAGGATACCTGGTTTATTTTTGGGGGGGTGCTGATTGCAGCTACAAGGTATTAACTAGAAATTTTATAGATTCCTGGTACAATGAAAAGAGTTCTGAATTTGGAGTCTGAAGGGCCTGAGTGGCCTGGGTGCCAATCCCAGCTCCCCCGATTTCTTTAAGTTTGACTATCAATAAATTGCTCTGGGCCTCAGTATCCTTACCTGTCAAATGAGGAAGTCTGACTCCCCTTCCGAGGTCCCTTAGAGCTCTAAATCTATGATCCTAGATTTAGGACACACCCCCAACAGGTGATTTGGTGTGGGTGTTGGTAGTATGTACAAGTGTCAGAATTTCAGAAGACACCTTAGACACTATCGAATTTAAACATACAAAGGGGGGAGGGAGGGAGGAGTAGAAGAGTAAATAACCTACATCGAAGACATCTCTTTTTTCTAGAGTGGTCGGCCTTGTCTCAAAATATCTATAGAGTATTTCTCTACCACCAGGAAGATTTTCTGAGAAGATCTGGTCTGACACCAGGACCCAGGCAGATCCAAGTCCCGATTCGACAAGAGGCAACATAGTTGGCGCTAGCCAAGAGAGGATGTGGGATACACTCCTAATGTCTCTAACTGAAGTCACCATGGGGTCTACAATTGTCATTTGCAACGGATCCCCGTGGGGGCCGGCCGTTGGACTCTGCCAGAGAGAGAGAGAGAGAGAGAGAGAGAGAGAGAGAGAGAGAGAGAGAGAGAGAGAGAGAGAGAGAGACTCGATGCCTGCCCCGAGGCAGGGCTTCCAGATACTCGGAATTTGAGTTAGGACTGGGTCCCCGAAGAAAGCGATCTCACTACATGTCCTTTGGTCGGAGGAAATACCCTGTTGTTGGGCCTCCCAAGACCCAGCTGTTAAGGGAGCCTTGGTGTCCTGACCTCACCCTGTGGATTTCCCCACCCCCACCCCCACCCCTGCTTTTCCGGTTCCAATTCTTGTAGGAAAGGAGAGGCAAGGAGACGTAGGGAAAAAGGACCTTGGAAAGAGGACAAGGGGAAGGGATGCCAGAGGGGTCCGTATTCTCCTCTCTGTGCGGATCTATATGTTTAAAACCGAAAATAAAAATGGGTGTGTGGACACCTCCTTTAGTGTCTGCTAAAGGAGCAGAGCAGCAACACAGAATGATACCGGCCATCTACGATCGAGGGAGGCTTATAGGAGCTGAAATCAAGAGGGAGATGAAGAAGACTGGGGGAGAGGAGAATCGTGGGTGATGGAGAGGAGAGGGGAGAGAGGGATTGCGTGGGGGAAGGGGAGAAAGGCACAGAGACAGAGACACGCCTCGGTTTTCGACTTTGCCTACCTACTGTTTGTCCTTCTCATCAGTCTTTAGATTCCGCTTCTCGGCAGCTGCTGACGCTTTCTCGTTGTGCCCGCTGGAGCCAGCGCACAAACCTCGATTTACAGAGCTCAGATGTTGGTGCCACTCCCCAGGTGAAGTTAACTTTTTATTTATTTGTTCCATTTCCCTACCACTACCCTACTCCGCGCCTAAGAAATATCAGTGTTTGTGCAGCCGTTTATTTCAAACTTGACCTCTAGCTCCTGATTGGTCGATGAATACAATCTAGGCGAAGCTTTTTTTTTTTTATAATTGTAAGCAAGAATGAGAAATTAGCGACCCTCCAGGAGGGGTGAAAGGAAGGAGAGATAGGGGGCAGGGCGGGCAAGATACTAGGGGTACGAAGTGAGATGGGCGGAGAAAACAGCAGGAAGGGGCGGGGGGGTTAGCTGAGACTGGCGGAACTAAAACGGGGGGGAGGGGAAAGGATAAAAGCGGGAAGGGGGGGGAATGGGAGGTGTAAGAAGAAGGAGATGAGGAAGGTGGGGGGGAAAGGGGGAAGGAGGGAAAGGGGAGGGAGAGGAAGCTAAAGAGCAGCCAGTCTCTGCTGGTGGGGGATGAAGCGACCCCTAAGTCTTCTCCCCACCCCCAGGTCCCCACCCCCATCTCCCAACTCTCGTCCCCACCCACCCGTGCCCTTAATTTTATCTTGCCTACTGTCCACATTACCCGAGCAAAGCAAAGCGGATCTTGAGCAACGGGACTGATCTAGAGGTTCCCCGCCCCTCTCCTTCAGCTTTGCTCTGAGCCGCGCTCCTGTGTGCGTGCGCGCGTGTGTATATCTATGTGTGTGGAGAGAGAGAGAGAGTCTGTAGTGCTGCAGGCTTAGCGCAACAGAGCAGAGGTGCTGGGCCTGTAAACCCGGGCAAGAGAATGATGCGGAGGGTTAGAGTGACCATCCGCGTGGGCAGAGCTCGCCGACCCTACCGCATCGGGACTTTCGTGGCAAAGATAGTGCAGGCGCTGTGCCGGGCATTGGCCAGCAGCAATCAATCGATACCCTTCCAAGTGTTGCTGATAGTGAGGAGGAAACGTGATCGTAGAAGACCAGGTAAGCAAAAGCCGTGGAGAGAAGCCGTGAAAAAAAAAAGAGGTGTTTTGGGTGCGTCTGATTAACAGGTAACTTATCCTTTGTACGTAATTGAACAGCGGCTAGAGACCTTCAGAGAAAAAAGTCCCACTTCCACCCCCTTGCTGCCCTTTTATTTCCTCGTACCTTTTTTTTTTTTTAAAAATCTCTTTGAGTGTCTTTTGCTCAGGGTGTATAAAGCCCTGTTCTGCCCAGCACATGTATTCCCCCCCCATGCTATTCCCATGGGAATTATCTCAAAACTCCTCAATAGGGAATTCTGATGCTATCTTAGTGATTTGGTGACTTCCTAAAGTCCAAGAATGAGTGGGATTCTGACCCCATTAAGTGACGGTGTATTTAGTCCTCTTGTGGTTTTCTGGGTTTGTTGTTAGCCATGAAAATTTGTTACCGTCCCAACTTCTTCATTCTTTCGAGGTGGCGCCTTTTACTAGCATTTCCCCCTCCCCTTTTCTAGAAGTTTTGGAGGGAAATGGGGGCGAAGGGACCCAAAAGATTTAACTTCCCCTTAACTCCAACTGCCCCAGTGAGACAAACCTCGAAGAATGTTCCCCCCTCTGAAACTGCACACACCAGTTGTCAACCAGCAAGAGCCAACTTGCTCTCAGGAATGATTTTGTTTTAATCAGTCTGTTCAATGGTACACTCGATCGTGTTTTATTGGGATGTCATGTTTTGTGCAAGTCCCTCCGTTATAAATAAGGAAGGACAATTACCATCTTAATTTGGCGATCTCCCCCTAACCAGTCAGATTACAACACTACTGAGCAAGGAATTAATATATACTAGGCCTATTTGGTCCACATGTTGAAGGCAAACATGTTCGCTATCGAGGGTAATTCAGCTCATTTAGAAACTCGTTTAGAAAGGAAATGTTAGGGTCAAGATAGCAAAGCTACTTAACCTATCTTTGATTATAAACCTGAAAACAATGTAGTCAACACAGTAATGAGGCCTATTATTTGAATAACTTCCCATGTGGTGGCCACCCTTCCCCATTTAAAAAAAAATACCTATGTAAAAGTAAGAGGCAAAGTCGAATTTGGGGTTCACTTCATTTCGTATGAAAAATAGATTTTACTTATTGTGTTCTTTTTTTCTTGTGGATAATAAAGCTGAGGTTCTTGATATAAAAATATTACAGTTTTGAATCTTAAGCAAAAAAAAAATGTGAGATCCTCACAACCATTAGCATAGACCTCTATATATAAAGTGATTTGATATGTAAGATAAAATGTATCCTTTGGTATAGGTTGAAACTAGAGTGAATATAAGGAAAGGGGGAATGATAGTAAAATGTGCATTATTCTGGTGCTTGGCTTCTTTGTTTAACAACTGTGAGGTCCTGCTTCCTCCGGTCTACTTGTAAATCTGTATATGAAGACATACAGTTATCTGTTATTGCATGCATAATTTAAAAACAATATAATTGTATTTCTGCATATGTAAATTATAGATATGACATTTTGTTCATTCATAATTTAAAATTACTGCACAGCCAATTTAAAACTTATTGATGTTCAAATAATTCCACATAAGAGACTGGGCTGCTTATGGGAATAATATGATGTAGAATAAGAACTGAAATTGTGATTTCATCTATGTTGTGAGGTCCTGGTAAGGCAGTGCCCCTCTCTGCCATTGCAAGTCAGAATCTTCTCTGCACTCATTGGTCTTAGAGAGTTTTCTGGAGCACTGAGAGGTTATTAAGTGACTTATCCAGAGTCCGACAGCTGCATGTGTCAAATGTAGTACTTAAATCCAAGCCCTTTATTCTCCAAAGCCAGCTCTCTACCCACCACACCATGTTGACTTTGTTAATATTGTGTGTATGCGGAAAAGACTATGTTAGTAGTCACAGATGTATTACAACAGTTACATATTTTAGATATTTAAAATATATGTATGGATTCTCTTGGTGAAGCATTTGTGTTTAAAATTTGTTTTTAAGACAGCATAGTAATGTCTTCATTTAAAAGCATGCATAAGATTTTTTTTGGTATTTTTGGGACTTTTAGCAAATATACAAAATTATAAACTATGTTTTAGTGGTTGTAGCTAGAGATTCATATATGGAAAATTCACGTGTATATGTACACAGAGATAGACACTTCCGTAACTTAAGGATCTGTATTTCTCTAGGTGTATGTAATTTCACCGCTGATGAAAATCATAACCTTTCTGCCATTTAGTTTTCATGAGATCCTTTAACTAGAAAAAAAAATCATCACCCTGCAGAAAACCTGATGATAAGTTTATTGCGTTTAGCTAGACTGGTTAAGATGGAACAGACAGCTCATTGCCAAGCCTATACTAAAAGAATTTCTAGTGTGCTAGGACTGACCACTTACCAAAACTATTTGTAAGAAAAGGTCTTAGACAACTAAGCGTCTTCCACAACAAACACAAAACATTGTAGTAGGGCTTTAGTGAAGGTAGATAGAAAGATGTAAATAGATATACATACTTTAATGTCTATATTAAAAACCCCATTTTCCCTGTGACATCTTGAGTCAATTTATAAAATGTATTTTTGCAACAACAAAAAATACCGTGCTGAAAACTGTATTAAATTTAACTCTATAATTAAATTACATAGGTATAAATGCTAATGAACATTTATTTGTCATGCAAATGTATGTTTCACATAAAATATCAGTTTAGATATGCTTGTATCTTAAGCATACAGATGTAAATGTATTCATGAAAATGCTGTTATGAATACCACATACATTTTAAAAGTCAAGTAAGTCATCATGATTCTGATTTTTTTTTTGCATGGATAAGTTTTAAGTGTCGTATGATGGAGAGACATACATATATGACATAGTAGTTTTTAGAAATGTATATTATTTCCTTACAACAAAAATACAATTAGTAATAATTGCACTTTATGTGAAATGTACATAATACAGGCATCATGCAATATGAGGCTCAGAATTTATAAATATATAAATTCAAGCCATTTTGAGAACACATTTTTTTTTACATTGTATGTCTCAGGTTGAACATGACAGGATCTAGTTTCATAAATATAAAATATATTTTTATGGGTTGGTAATATATCGCTGTGAAATACTGTGTGGAGACTGATAATTGTATGAGTACACTATGATCGTTAAGTATAGACAAGAGGCTTAAATCACTGCTAAATTAGTAAATTAGGCATGCTCAGGGGTAGCTAACTCTTCTTTTATGTATTCTTTCTCCATTAGAATATAAGCTCCTTGAGGGCAAGGACTGTCTTTCCTTTCTATTTCAAGCAGTTAGCACAGTTCCTAGCACACAGTAAAAGTTTAGTAAAAGTTTTATTTAATTTAACACTCCCCCCCTTACCTTCTCCTCTCTCCCAGGATAAGACTTTAAATATGTTGGATTGGCCTGGAGGAACCAATGCACTTTCCAAATCACTTGCCATGCACAGTTCTGACCCTGGAGCATGGTGATACCATGAGGAAAATCCCCATAATTGAGAGTTAGTGGACTTTCTTTGGTTCAAATCAGAGCTTTGCCTGTGTGACCTTGAACAAATTACTTAACAATCTCTTTTCCTTCAATTCCCAAGAGGGAGTTGAACTAGATGATCTTTAAAGTTCCTTCTAGCCTTCAATCAGTGATGCTTTAGAAGAAGCAATTCAATCTCTAATGGCATGTTTTATTGTCTATTGTGCAGGGCTGATTGAACACTACACTTTAAAAAAAACTAGACTAACGTAACTATTCTGTATAACAAATAAACTTTCATATCTATTTTACTTAGGAGGAGTAGAGAGTAAGGAGAAAGGGAAAAGACTCAATGCTGAGAGAATAAACCCAGGATATATATTTGTACACATACATATGTGTGTGCCTATACACACACACACACACACATACAAGAAACAATGTGGTGTAGTCAATAGAATACTGGACTTAAAGTGAAGAAATCAGGTTCA